ATAGTTTCGAAGATCAACGAGTTAAACTTTTTTGAGGGAAATAAACTCCACTAGTATATAAAAATCATTCAATTTCATGGTTGTTGTTTTTTTTCCTATGTCTCAAAAATTTTACAAAGTATCATGTCTGTAGATATTTTCTGGTTTTTTTATTAATGAATTTATGTATATAAGGTTTATTTATAAACAAACTACAGTGGTATACATATAATTAAAACTCATATCGATAATTGTGTTAAAAATCATTTATTTCTAACAAAAGTCGACAATATCTACATCTTTGGGGCCCGATGGCCGGGGGGCTAGCGCTCTGTCTCTCGGCACCACAGGTTTCGAGTTCCTTCCGGTCGATGTAATAGATGTTTGTACTGGTTCGGATTCCACTTTAAACCGTAGATCCCGGTCAAATACGCTCGAGCGTTGCGGGGATAATGTTACTCGCGTCCTTGGCATATCTTCCAGCTAAACGTGCCCCTGGGTAGTGCTAAATGAGTAACAGCGGGGCGACCCTTGCTTATGTGATAAGAAATATCTATATCTGTATTGCCAACTGCATTAGAAAAAAAAAGATAATTTGTATTTTTTGTTTTCTATAGTAAACAATAGACGTATTTTTTTCAAACAAAAGTATTTTTCAACTTAAACACCACAAATTAAAAACTTAAGTAATGTGTAACTACAGAAAGTATAAATAATATTTCAAAATATTTCAATTAAAAAATATTTCAAGCTCACGGGCGCTTTTAGATTAGAATGAAGCAAATTAAAGCCTAGAGAGAGAGAAGAAAGGTTATCCTTAAAGGTACTGTTATCTTCAGAGAACTAAAACGCCTTTCCGCTCTTTGAACCAGAACGAGGACACTCATTTCACCGCCTTAGATTACTTTCCGTGTCTTCTTTAACCTCCGATTCAATTTGGCTTGTTTTCACAACTCGTATACTATTTCAGGTAATTCTCTCTCTTACTCGGGTTTCTTTTTGTTCTTCTCTCTCCTAACTAGAAACTTATTGTTTAGATTCCAATTCACCAATCAGCGGAAGTTGTTCTCTGGAGTGTTGCAAACTCCGACGCGCGAGACAATCGATGGCTAATTCCCCTTTTTCTTGTTGGGAAGCGCTTGAACATTTTTTTTCTCTATCGATATTGCAATAGTTACGAAGACCAACGAGTTATTTTTTTTTTGAAGGAAATAAACTCCACTAGTATATAAAAAATCATTCAATTTCATGGCTTTTTTTTCCTATGTCTCGAAAATTTTACAAAGCACGATGTCTGTAAATATATATTGGTTTTTGTTTTAATAAATATATATATAAGGTTTATTTATATTATTAGACTCGTATCAGTTGTTGTGTTAAAAATCACTTATTTGTAATAAAAGACGACAACGACTACATCTTTTCATTAAATATAGGTGTGACACATGCTGACAACATCTGTACAAATATTGTTTTAAAAAACTGGCATTGATTTAATAAATAACACATGTGCACGTGAATAAATAGCACATATATTTCGGATTTGAGTTTTTCTAACTAATTTTTAATTCAGGTATAATTTTTTTAAATTTTATTGTTGGTTACATAATAATGTGTTGTTGTCGTATCCGTCCTTTAAGGAGGGAAGAGGGCTGCAGCTTCTGTTGTGATGGAGGACCCGTAGATAGAAGTCTGGCTTCTGCTCCGTGTTTCTGAAGAAGGAGGGCAGTGCCTTACGGAAGTGCTTTTGGGGAAACTACCCCGCATTTGTGTATCGTGGGGGAGAAAACCCGGAATGTTCCCACCTGGTAGTCCGTTTAACGAGGCAAGATGCTGAAAATCTCAAACGCCATTGAATCCCCTCGTTTTTTGAAACAGGGTTTCCAATAAACCCGCCAGCGGATTGAACCTCTGCCCTAATGCTCCCCAGTGGTGAACGTTTCAATTCAACTAAGAGTCAGGCTAATAATGTGTTATATCCATTGATTAATAATTTTGATTGGTCCTGAAATGCCGAGTGTCTAACGCCCTGTCGTTCGGTACCACAGAGTCCCGGAGATGCTATGGACGTTTGTAGTAGTTCGGAATCCACATTAAACTGTAGATCCCGATCTAAAATGACTGCTGCGCATAGGACTGTTACACTTAACCCGTAAAAAGAAAAAAACATCTTAGGTTTCGTAATCTACCAATATACAGAAGACCTTATCCTACCATGGGGTGTGGCACCATTGAAGAAGAATACTTTCTATCAAATAAGATCATGTTTAAGTGTAAAGCAGTTGTTGTTTTTCAGATTAGGAAAGGTTTCAGATCCGTCACCAAAGAAAATTGGCAAAATATTTGGTTTGTTTTAAGCAAATAAGTTGTCACAGTATGAAGTAGCTACTAATGCAGGAGTGTCAAGAAATTCATTAAAAAACTTTAAAAAGAAAATGGGATATGAAGGCAGTTTACAAATCAAACATAAATTTCGGGGGAAAACGAAAATAACCTTACAAACAGACAGAAAAGTCTATGATACATGCCTAGAAATCAAAAAATATCTAAACGCAAGTTAACTAAACATATAAAAAACAGAAGTATTCCCGTTTCAGAGCATACCTTGTTTCACAGCGTACCTTGATGGCAAATAAGCCATATAGGAAGCCGAACTTTACTCAGGCAACGATTGAAAAAAGGTTGGAATGGGCACAAAAGTACAAATATTTTTCCATAGAAGATTGGAAAAGTGTAAATATGAATTGTGATAATTTTTATTCTCTATCAGTATCATGAAAAATTTATGTAGTTAACTCATAAAAGATATTTTTCTTTTTCCGCTATTTGCTTTTCAGACTAGTCCATTTTCCGAATCATGACTGATAAGTCAAAGTTTGTAAGAAGAAGGCCTTTAGAAGAATTGGCGTCTTTTATAACAAGTAAGTGATTTTTTAAATGCAGTTCGACAAGAAAATCAAAATGTATCTTCTTGTAAATTTAAATAATACATAATTTCTAAAATATCGCTAATATCTTGTTATAAGATCGTTTCCTTTACCATTTTTATATATAAAACGTCCTTTGATATGCGTGTTTTCGATATCTAAATTTATTTTCACACTTTCAAAAAAACATTATTGTCAATATGCACAATCAAATGTTACTTAATAATAGAAAGAAATACAGTGAAATAAAGTTAGTTTATCGATTGATTGATTACAAAATATAACTTAAATATAAGTCATCGATTTACACCGGCTCCATATTACGACACAGTTGAATAGAACATATTCTTGAAGACTACAAATATATCCAAATTATTGCAGATCCAATTAAAAAACCACGAATATCGGAATTGTTTTTATCGATTGATTACATTGATTGCTTACAAAATATAACTTAAAAAAAGTCATCGATTTACGATGTTGAATACAACATATTCTTGTGCTGATGACTACATATCCAAATTATTCCAAATATCTTGTAATGCCAATAGAGTAACACTAATTCCTCACGTTAAATCTGCTAATTTAGGGGGTCCAATTAAAAAACAACGAATATCAGAACTGATTTTATTCATTGACTGATTACAAATTATAACATAAATCATAGATTTACTTCGAACTAATATTGAAACAACTAATTAAAAATTTCGTATTAGCATAATTGTAACGATAACAGTTTTAGCGTTATTATAACAGCCTTAGCATATTTAATTGGGAAGATCCTTTTTTAAAACTCCTTTCTGAGAAATAAAAATTGCTCAAGACTTTTTAAAATATAGTTCGTCAAGTAAATCAAACTGCATCCCACTGTAAATCTAAATAACAGGCAATTTCTAGAATATTGCTAATATCGTGTTATAACAACATTTTCCCCTTCCTATTCAGGAAACGTGCTCTTACCTAACAATAGTTTCACGTGTTTGTCTATTCGCATGAGTGTTTCAGAATTGGTAAAGCTGCACAATGGGCTTTTCTCTAAATCTGTGCCCCGCTGAGGATGTCACATACAAGGAGGATGGATTTCGGAAATAAATAACCAGCTTTTGTGACAAATGTTTGCAACACTGTGAACCTACAATTTGTAAGCGTCATCATGGAAGAGGTTCAACAACTACGAATCCGACTGATGTATATTTCGAGTCAAGTGGTAATTAACTTAACTGCATTCAAAACGTTTTTAATGATTAATTGATTTTCAGTGTGCGTGCATTTATTTCAAACAAATTTAAAGTGTCTTGAAAAACTTTCACGACAATCTTGTCGATTTTTTGGAAAAAAAAAATGATAAACATTTTATCATTTTGTTCTTTTACAAGGGTCTAAAAATATAAAAAGAATTATTTTCAGACAAATTGAATTTCACGACTGATTCTCACCAAATAGTCATATTCTAAAAGGAAACACTCATATTTCTGAAAGGCACAGAATATCTTTATGGTAGAAAATATTCTTGAATGGCTTTTTATTTATTTTATTTCCCCATGAATATAGTTATGAATATTTCCCCATGAATGTAGTTATGAGTCAGTATCGTGCACGCACCATTCTTTATTTTGTTTAAGAAGTGCATTTTCTATTTGAAACTATCAGAACATCTAATAAAATGGCATATTTTATTCTCTTGATAATTCTGTAATTTATCGGAAGAGGATAGTCGTTGTGTTTCTGTTAAAACTCGACAGAAGGCCCAACCGAAAACCCAGTACAAGGTATGGTAGGCAATAAATCTATAGTGTGGGAAGTTCTGTTTTGTTGTTTGTTGTTTCTTATCCTACTTGGCTGGCCAAGCCCACGAGCCCATACGTACTCATGATTGAAGGGGAAGGAAGCAGCTTCTGTTGTGATGGAGCACCGTAGGTAGAAGCCTGACTTTTGCTCCGTGACGCTCTTACAGTCATAGGAGACTGGGACCTACAGCATAAAGTGGATTCCGAACCACTACAAACATCCATGACACCACCGGGATTCGAACCCGAAACCTGTGGCACCGAGCGCCAGAGCGAGACACTCGGCCATTCAGGTCCCCAATTTGCCAACGGCACGCGGTGTTCCCAGGTGGTCACCCACCCAAGTACTGACCGTGCCCAATGATGCTTGACTTCGGTGATCTAACGAGAACCGGTATATTCAGCATGGTACGGCCGTTGGCTGGGAAGTTCTACTATTAGAAAAGGAAATTACTTGCTAATTCTTAGGTTCCAAACGGAGATTTCACAACACACAGAGGCAGTCCCTAGAAGTATGTATTTGTTTATAATTGTCGAGGTACACTGTGAGACAATAGGGTACAATAGGGTACTTTGTACATAATGACTAGGGCTGAATCTACTGCATAACAGTTATTGAAATTATAATCAAAAAATGTTATTTTGAAATTATCACCAAATGTAATATCTTGTTAGCATTTTGCTATTTTTTAAAAACAGATGCAAATTAAATTCTTCAAAATTAAACTTGATAAATTATTTTAATATATCTTATTAAAAAAAAAAACAAAGATTAGATCTTTTAAAAAATATTCAAACATTATAAAAGTTTTTGTGCTTCTTTTTATACCTTTTAGCGATTTTCGATTAATCACTCAAAATCAAGTACAACTCTTGTGCATAATGATTATGGCTAAATCTGCTGCATATCAAAGGTTTTAGCGATTAATAATTCTGGCCAAGATGAGCACATTCGAAAACAATGTTATTTTGAAATTATATCAGCGAATATATATTATCTTATTAGCTTTTGCTATTTTTTCAAAAGGAGACACAAATTAAATTCGTTAAATTTAAACTTGATACATTAATTTAATCTATCTTTTTTTAATAAGATAGATTAAATTAATGTAAGTTCTTTTGAAAAATATTCAATATGAAAAAGCTTTGTGTGCTTCTTTTTCATATCTTTTAGTGCTTTTCAATTAATCACTTAAAATCAAATGTATCTCTAAAATACATTTCAGAAATAAAATAAATTAATTCCATTATTCATACTTATATTCCTATTTAAGGAAACTTAATAATGAAGCTGTTCCCAAAATAGCGAAAATATATTTTCGGTTTTCTTCAAAGATAGTTTAATTAAATATATTGATAAAAAAAAGTTATGTTAACAAATGCCCGTGGCTCAATTATCCAAGCTAGAAAAATGAGTCAAAGCAACTAAATCCTGAATAGAAACGAGTGGTCTGGTTAAATTAAGTTACTTTCGGTGGAAATTATTTATGCTTTCTTAATTCAGTTATTTACAAAAGGCTAAATTTAGATTTATTCTTAGAAATAAATCTTGAAATCTTTCACATAGATTGTATCAAACTGAATAAATTTATCTAATAATAGTCTTTTGAATTCTGCACTCAATTTTAATTGAAGTATATTTTTTTCTTAGATATTTTTCTTTACTTTTTTTAGATATTTTGGTCTACGTGCTCATAATCTGAATGCAAGAGGATGAGGGTTCGATGGATATTACCTGGCACTGATAATCGGACAATCTGGTTAGAGTGTTATGGGTTTTACTTTTCAAAATACTCAATACAAATAAGTTAGTCCTTGAATATTTACTCAAACACTATTGCTCTCCCAATCACTTGCAGTATCGTATTTTACGAAAGCACATTGACCACCAAAGGGGCATAACTTTTTATTAAAAGATCAATAAGTTTAGCAGATTCTAGTAAAAATGGAGAAAGTCTCCACCCTAATTATTTATTTGTACTTATGTATCTAAAGTTCTAGTAATGTATGCCACAGATAATCCATCAATAATATCCAAGTATATATCTTCCGTGGACAGGATTATCAGCGATAATTTCTCGCTTTTGCATGTCATATGGGAAATCCAAAAACCTACAATTTAGTTATGTATGTCTAGGTTAATAGTGCTATGGATATTTAATCAATACTGGATAAGGAGATATGTAACCTAAATAGGATTATCAGTGATAATGTCCCATATTTGCATGCCATAAGGGAAATCCGAAAAACTACCAATAGAAAGTCTAGTAACGCATGGCTAGGTTCTAGTAAAATATGCTACGATATTGCATCAATAATTGATGACGAGATATCTTCCTTAGACAGGATTATCAGAGATAATTTCTCACATCTGCATGTCATATGAAAAATCCGAAAACCTACCGACAGACAATCTAGTAAAGTTTGCATATGTTCCAGTGCTATGGGTAGTCCATCAATTATTGACGAGAAAATGTCTCACCTAAACAGGATTATCAGTGATAATTTCCCTCCTTTTCATGTCATATCGGAAAATCCGAAAACTTACCAACAGACAGTCTAGTAATGTATGCCTAAATTCTAGCAGTGTATGCTTAGGTTCTAGTAATGTATGCAATGGATAGCCTATCAACAACTGATGAGGATAAATCTTCCCTCACATAGGATTATCAGTGATAATTTTCCGAATTTGCATATCATATGGGGAATCCGGAAACCTACCTATAGTAGTGTATGGATAGATTTTAATAATGTATAGACACTATAGTAGTGTATGGATAGATTTTAATAATGTATAGACACTATAGTAGTGTATGGATAGATTTTAATAATGTATGCTACTGATAGTCCATCACTAATTGATGAGGAGATTAGATATCTCCTCATCAGTTATCTCCTCATTCCTAGAGAGGAGTATCAGTGATAAGTTTCTACATATGTATGTCATAAGGAAAATCCGAAAACCTACCAACAGATACTAGTAATGTATCTGTAGGTGTTAGTAATGTACACTACGGATTGTCCATCAATAATTGATGAGGGGATATCTACCATAGAGAGGATTATCAGCGATGATTATCTGCTTATGTATGTCATATTGGAAATCCGAAGACCTATCAACAGACAGTCTAGTAATGTATGCCTAGGTTCTAATAATGTATGCTAAGGTTTTAGTATTGCAAGCCTAGGTTCTAGTGATGTATGACACGATTAGTCCACAAATAATTGATGGAGAGAGCATGCATCCCTTAAAGAGGATAATTAGTATGAATTGCCAGTATTTGCATGCGGTATGAGTGAAAATCCGAAACTCTTCTACTAGACAGTCTGATTATTGATGGAGACACTTTATAAACCGTCACATCACCATCACCTCGTTTGTAAAAATTTATCTGTATTGGCAAAAAAAAAACCTTGAATATAAACTTAAATATTATTTCTGTGCCACTATTCCAATAAGTTGTAAAATAAATCAATAAATCTTTATAAAAACTTTCTATTCCCTACTAACAACCATTTCTTAAAATTTATCTCTCTGGTAAAAGAAAAGGAAGTCATTTTATTTAACAGCACCACATTCTCTTTGATAAGTATATATGTCGCGAAAATCCGCATTTTTATGGTCTTTGGTAGAAGATTATTGATGGCAGCGATAAACACTCTGAGCTGTTATAGATCTGGCCCCATGCAGGTAATTGCGGAAGTTTATCTGTAATGGTGGAAATGCATCATACTGACACAATCTTATGAATATTGATGGTTAAAGACAGGCCATGGATTTCTTTTATGTTTTTCTTGGCTATAATAACTGCTGACATATTATATCAATAATGCAATGAAGTATTATATAATATATATTTATACTTAAATAGGAAGAAATAATTTATTTTAAATACATCATGAAATTCCTTTATTTAATTGGGGAAATAGTAAAAATCATTAATAGTCACTTTTCTTGATGTCATTCACTATTTCTGGAACAGATTTGTAGGATTTAACTTAATTTTAAGTGCATCACTGTGAAGTTCTTAGATTAGAGAGGGATAAAATCGAGAAGGAATGCTAATTATGTGGTCTTTTAAAATATTTATTTCAATTTTCAAAAATTACGAACTAGCGTTTCATGAAGACATAAATAATTTACAAATGCTGTAACTTCAAGTTTATTTATTAATTGGCATCTGTTATTAATAACGATTAAGTAATTTTCTGATTTTTTTAAGTGTTTAATTATTTATATGAATTCTAATTTGAACATTAGGAAATTTAAACTACAACTTTTTTTGAAGCTTTGTTAATCTTTATCATGAGATCATATGCCACTCAACAGACAGATTTGTAGTAGATTTAACACTTGCACTTCAGGTACTTTAGAAATTATGATCTGTTATATCTACAAGAAGGAATTGGAAGTGAAAAAGATTTCAAAAGTACTTCCTACATCTCCCAAGAAAGATCTTTCTAAAAGAATTTTTAGAGAAATTTGCTAAATTAATTATGCATGAATATTTTTTTCCAATGCAGCTGGCAAACAGACATGGACGTCTTATAGCGCTGCACAGATGTTATATAGGGGCCGCGTTTTTCCATAACAATGCCCCCGCAACGCTCTACGATCATATTAGACCGGGACCTACGGTTTAAAGAGGATTCCAATCCACTACACACATCCATGGCACCACCGGGACTCGAACCCGAAATCTGTGGTACCGAGCGCCAGAGCGCTAGCCACTCGAATGGCCACTCGAAGGCCCATGCTTGAATATATATGCAGATACTTTTTCCATATAATTAATAGTTGTAAGAATTCTATTAATTTTAGTCAAGAATTCCCAATACTTTTTTTTTCACCTTCAATCTGTTAGGATTTATTTTAAAAAATAGCTCTCATCTGGAAAATAAATTAAAAACTAACGCTGTAAATTTTCTACCCTATTATTATTATTACAATACTTTAACTAATGATGCCAGGTAGTTTTTACGACTGGCGCCCTCTGGGGAATGAAAATAAAAAAGTTCTTAATTAATTATTAATAATTAACATTTTTTTTAACGAAATAATAAAATCAAATTGAATTTATTTTTATTTTGTAGTATTATAGTTTTTAAGTTGTGTAGTTATTCTGGATCATACACATGTACATACGATGGTAATATAGAAAAATCTGGTCAATAAAACACCTGCGTGCGACTCGTGACTTAGGAGTGACTTAGTACACACAGTTTGGGCTAATTAGACCGGGACCTACAGTTTAAGGTGGATTCTTAACCCTAACAACAAACATTCATCTCCCCATGACGATTCGAACCTGAAGTACTAAAGTCCAGAGAGCTAGACAATTGGCAATCAAAGCAGCCGTCATAGTAGTGGAGCATAACATAATTTTTAAAATCAAAGACTCGCCTTAATACATAAGTA